AAAACCAAAACATACACACAAGAAAACCCCACAGAAAACCAACAAAAAAACCCTTTTTTCCCCCCAGTTGATCTTCTGTAGCTTTTCCACTTGGAAATAAAGAGCTTTTGTTCCAGATCACAAATGCTGCCATAACACAGTGGATCAGTAATCTTCCCCATGCCTCGACATGGTAACTGTGGGCCTGCCAGAATCGCATGGCAACCTTATTTATTCTTCCTYATCTGTTTGCTTTCCACATTTCAAACACCTTCACTTGAGGAAGTTTATATTGAGAAAAATACTTCTTTGTCAACATAAACTCTTCACCCCTCCTGCATTTCAGTAGATTTAGGAAAAACCTCCCTGCATTTTCTCTCTCAGTATCCTATAGATAGTTTTTAACTGTCAGCAGCTTCAGAGTGTTGCTAGAAAAGTTCTTGAAAATTCTGAGATTGTTTTGGAATAGGAATAATTAACCAGCAGCTAAGAAGTTAAAACTACTTTCTTTGCCAATAATGACATTGGTCTGTTCTTTTACAGTTCTTTTATAGGAACATCACGATTTTGACATTTAATTGACAGAAAGAGCCCTATATGGAGAAAATATAAGAAATGACACACACCTAGATGATCTTATGTAAGCCTGTGGATAATTTGTTTGCCTGACAGGACTGCATGATATGGAAATGTTCCCACCACTCCRGGAGCTGCGCTGTGTCCAAGTCAAACACACACCACAGGAACAGTGAAACCTTGCTTTCTCTAGATTGACATGTTGAAACTGAGCCTAATATGATTGCTTTTAGGCTGCAGCTTATGCCTCTGCAGGGACATTAGCACAGTCCCCCTGCTTGGCTGCTTGTTTCCATAAATGTACAGTTTAGTTGAGATCTGTACCTCCTGGTCAGATTTGCTGACAGATAAGCACGTGCACAGAAAGGGCAAGTGCACAAATCTTAGGTGTTTTTTCAAACAAGATTAGGTATGTTCATGACACTGACTATACTCATAAGTTTGACAGAGCTAGTAGACTCATTTCTATGTTAGCATTCCTTCTTAAGAAATTATAGGTACTATAGGAATGACAAATACTCCATATATTACTTCTATTCTTCACTTAGATCATGCTGTTATAGACCATACAATGCACTTTGTTAATATCCAACTATAACACAACCGCATGAAACATGGAAGTGAGAATACAGGTGTATAGCTAAGATTTGTAGTTAGCTTTTTATCACCTTCAAAACTTCTTAAAAATGCACTTCTTCCTGGTAGTTTGCTTTTTTTTTTTTTACTGCATTCTATCTTTCTTGCTGTTTTCCTCATAGTCATTGTGAAAACACTGCTATATTTTCTTAATAAAATTTACATTTTTACCTTCACTATACTGAATTTCACATAATGTTTTGCCATTTACAGGCCACACTCCTGTGATAACCCTAAATATCCATAGCACTTTAAAAAAGTTACTTGCACCCCTTGCCTCAGACTTGAGTGTATGTTGTGGTTTTAAGGCAGACATGAGTAGGTGYGAACAGGACAGCAACGAGGCATGACATGGAAGGAAACATAACTTGTATCTGGCCTAATGACAGTGGGACAGAACAGGGGTGAGGTTTGACAAGCTCTTCAGCAGTAGGAGGCCTGACAGACCACAGAAYTCATGTGTCCTGCTACTTGGCTGCTTTCTGTACTTGCATCAGGTGGTTTACTGAAAGTTCTTACCCACAGCTGTGCCTCACTGTATCATTAAATCTAGACTACCACAAGATGTTCCATTGCTCAACAGGCACTGCCCTCACACTGCTGCTGTTTGCCAGACTTAAACAGAAGTCTGTGACATATCGATTCTTCTGGTTTACTCTCCTAAGTTTAGGAAAGACTCATTCAAATGTTAATTTGGAAAAATAAATAAAGGTAAAAGTTTCAAGGGCAAAAAGTTTCAAAAAAGAAACACACATTTCAGATTACTGAAATCTAGTTCATGAACTTGACAAAGCAGCTGGGATTTATCAGGTTTCTCCTAACGTGAATTGTGAAGCCACCCTTCACTCTTACCTTGTATGTTCACTTAAATTAGTCCATSCTAATCTCTGAGATCCATTTTTACACAGTTGATGCCCATAGATCATTATTTCTGTCTACAACCAGCATGCATAAGCTCAATTCTGGCAAATAAGAGCTGGCTAAAAAGCACCAATGCAAGTAACAAAATAAAACTTGCAGGACTTGATCAGTTTCAGGCCAGAGTCAAGTTTAGTAATTGCAGATTTGTAGCATCCACTAAAAGACTGTCTCTCTGCTGCACCCAGATCTCTGCCCACTRGAGAACCTCACARAGTGATGAGGAAGAGGGAACTCTGATGTGCTTTACTTCATTCTTATTCATGAATACAGAATAGAGTTTTTAGTYCCCATGTTCAAGGCTTTCTTTACTTGCACATAGATGGCAAATGTTAGAGCTTGCAAATAAAACTGTCAACATGTGTATCAGCAATGCACATTATGAAATCACAGAAGATGCTTGTTCTTATGACAACTGCACTGAAAAAATAAATGTATAGGCCAGACCATTCATGACCCCAGCCACCTGTGAACTATGATTTTCCTTTTCCCCAGTAAAGGCTTGTTCTTAGCCCTTGCTAAAATGTCATAACATCTTGGCAAATTCCTTTAAAAGAAAGAGGCTTTGTTGGCACTCATAGCTTTGTAATATGATGTTGGGTTTTGATTGCAACTGCWAGACTGTTTCTTCTGCAGATCTTTCCAGAAACTGATTTCACAAAAAAATCCTGTATTAAGACTTTTATGGTTGGGGGTTTTAAACATTTTTATACCACTAGCAAAGTATTATTCATAGATTTAAATCAACACTAAAACATAAAATAAGATTRAAAATACTCTAGAAAACTGTGTTAAGCTACATTCAGGTCTGGTATAGTAGATAACACATATACAAGGAATTTTTTTTTATTGCCTCTTAAAATTATTCATTATATATATTTTACAGCCAATTCCTTATCCTTCTAATATGGCAGTAAAAAACTAAACCACTACTGACTTCTAATCACTTCAGAGGTGAAGAAATAAAATACCTTCTGTACCTAACATAAAGTGTTCTGAACTGGAAACTGAGAGAACTCTATGACTTAAAATATGATAGTTTACAGTTAACTTGTATAGTCCTTTATGTAGCCCAAGCATGTGACAGTGTTTGATTCTTCCAAGGTTTTAGGGCTTTTCTAAATACTCGTGATGGAAACTTTTTTCCAGAATCAAAGGCACAAAATGTAAACAAATGCAATGAATTCACCTTAATCTGCAGAGCAGAAACAGTTCCTTTGTGAGAAGTACAAACCACTTGCGATAAGTATGGAGTACTGATACTGAGAACAAACGATAGCAATATAAACATTAACATTAGCTGTTCTACCATTTCTTCTCAAATATCTAGCAAAGGGATTGGTCCACCGATGCTAGAAGTAGGAATAGGTTCTTATTTAGTCATCTGTTCCCAAATTATAGTTCCACTGCCTGTACTCCAGAGAGGGAAGAAAGGAGCGATTRCATCATCTCTCTGGAAACAGACTGACAAACTACTGCCTACTTCATCTAGGCCAATCRTCTCATGGTTGCTGTAATTCCTAGACACCATCCCTTAGAGACATTTTTCAGCAATGCAAAAATCTCTGACATACTGGCCCTTTAAGGACAAATTTAATGGGAAATGAATTTGAACTAACTTGTAAGTAAATAACAAAGGTCAACCTTAAAACTTTAAACTCTCTGAAATAGTTACCCCATACTTAAAGCTTGTCTACATGCTYCAATAAAGGAGTATTCTCCAGCTGAAAGGGTGTAAGAAGAACCTGAGTTAGCATCTGAATTGAAAATAAAATCCTAATTTCAGTAACCCTGCATATTAAATCAATGCAACATTCAGATTTTTCACAGGAACATGACTTTTTGCAGTTCTGGAAATGAATTACAGGTAAGCATTTAACTATGGGGAGCAAAAGATTGGTTCTGAGCTGCCCCAACAGAGGGGCACAGGGTCCTGCAGCCCTGCCCAATGCAGCCACATAGCACTGGAGCAGCATGGACCCAGCCCCCTGGGTTAGACTGGTGCCCTGGAATACAGCTGGCCAAACTTGTTTATACAGGTCTCGACTGGGTTGTATGGATTGGACCAGGTTTAGACTGGGGTTATAGGGGGATGTGCTGGAATGTACTTGGTTTGTTCCATTTAGAGGAGAAGAGGGAAGATCTCATCGTGTTCTTCAACAATCTCACAAGGGGAAGTGGAGTACTGATCTCTTCACTCTCATGACCAATGACAGGACTCAAGGAAATGGCCTGAAGCTGAGTCAGGGGAGGTTTCGGCTGGTTATCAAGACAAGATTCTTCACCCAGAGGATGGTTGGATACTGGTGCTCCCCAGGGAAGTGGTCACAGCTCCAAGCCCGACAATGTTCAAGAAGAGTGTGGACAATGCTCTCAGACACATGGTGTCACTCTTGGGGATGATGCTGTGCAGGGTTGGGAGATGGATTGTGATGATTCCTGTGTGTGTCTCTTCCATCTCAGTATATTCCTATTCTACGATACTGGGCTAAACTGGTCGACACAGACCTGGACTGGGTTATACTGGGATGGACGGTGATGTACTGGCCTGGACTCAGTTTAGGCTGGGTTAGACTGGGATGAAGAAGGAAATACTGGGATTTACCGAGCCCYACTGGTTTATACGGGCCTGGACCGGGACAAACTCGTTCCACATCACGCCCCCCCGCCACCACCCCTCCTCACGGGGCCCGCCGCGCGCACGCGCCCAGCCGCCCCTCGCGCGCCGCCGCCACTTGTTTTGGAAGCGCGCGTGGTCCTCTCCGATTGGGCGCCGCCGCCCCGCCCCGCCCCGCCCCGGCCCCGGGACCGGGAGGGGAACTACATCTCCCGGCGTGCCGCGCGGCGGCGGCCCGGGAGCGGTGGGCGCTGGAGCGGGGTGGCGGCAGCGGCGGCGCCGCTGCTTCGCGAGAGGAGCCCGGGCGCGCGCGGCGGGGCCGCGGACAGGTCGCGGTGAGCGCGGCGCCCCCGCCCGACGGGTCCCGCCGCCCGCAGCACCGGCCGCGCCGGGAGGAGACGCTGCCGCCGCCGACCCGCGGCGCGTCCCTCTTCTTCCTGTGCCGGCGGCGGCGGGGCGACGGCTGCTCCCTCTTCCGTCAGTCGCGGCGGCAGCAGCAGCATGAGCGGCGGCGGTGCCGGCCGGAGCGCGGCGGCGAGGGCACGGCTGGCAGCGCGGTTGTTGGTGGTGCTCGGCTGCGTCCTGACAGCGGAGGCCCAGGTAGGAACCGGCGGCTGGCGGGACGGTGTGGCGGGGCGGGACGGCACGGAGCGGGGAGAGAGCGTGGCCGGGCAGGGATGCCTGCCGTTTGTGGGTAGGGCTGAGGAGCCCTCCCGGAGGGGCAGGAGGCACAGGCTGGAGGTGAGGGCACTTCGGGGGGTTGTGGAGGAGAGGGCAGCTCTGGGCCGTGTCTTGTGCAGCCTCCCCTCTGAGAAGCCGGAGAATCTCTCGCTGGAGTCTGTAACCCACGTCCTTCCCCTTCCGTACCGTGGCACTTGCCGGGATCCAGCCCGGGGCCGGTGGCTCCGGTCTGCGCGGACAAGTTGGTGACCTGGGAACCACAGGTAGCGTCAGTCAGTGGGGTGTTGCATTGAGGAGCTCTGGGTTGGATCATACCCTTGGCTTCAGGTGGAAACTTCTTTCCCTGATGAAGACTGTGAGAAGCCATATGTTCCAATGGTGATGCCATTGCTTGGCTTGTGTTTAGGTCGGGTCCGTTATGCCGTTTGCATAACAGGCAAGGAGGGGAACGCTGTTTCCTTCTTTAAACTGCCTTCACAGCTTTAGCAGGACAAGTTCTGTAATTAAGAGCTCCCTCTTCATCTGCCCTGTGACCRTGTCTGAAATGGTAGCTGGTATTAAGTAGGAAAGGCTTTCAGCTAGGCCAAAGACTTTGGAGTGAGTTTATAGAGGAATACACTGTCTACATAAGTCAAAGCTTGTTCTCTGGATTATTGTTTTTCTCATATTTTCTAAATTTTTGTGTTGTGTGACATGCTGTATTGTAAGTGACCACCCAAAGCAGTGATGACAGTAGCATAGATAACTTTGATTGGAGCTTTTTTTGTTATAAGTTGAGGTTGTCTCTGGTTTWAAAATCCCATTATTTTAGTAACTATTTTAGCATAACTAAATGCTAGTTGAAAGGGAGCTCTTAAAGAAGCAATTAATAAAGTAGCGTGGGGTTTTTTTGTGATGCTAGGCAGAGAGATTGGTTGRTGCTATTTCATAAAATTGTTCAGAGTTTGGCTTGTCCAGGTAACGGTGAGCTAGACAATAATTCTTACAGTCGTGTTGCCTGTTCTCTTGTTTTGTAGCAATGGCAAAGGAAAACATCTAAGGAATAAAACAAGGTGTCCCAGGTGGTCTTCTAATTGTTGAAGCAATTAAAGTACAACAACCTAATAACACTAATAGATTGTTTGTATTAATAGATTGCTTATTATTATATGCAGTTATTCAGGTTTTTTGTAATGKTAAAGGGTTGAATAGATTTCATAAGGAGAAATTGATGAAGGTTGGACATTGACCTTTTCTTCTGAAAGACTGATTAATTTTGGAGAAGATAAAAGTTTCACTTCTCCAGTATAGCTCTGATACCTGTTTAAGAACTAAACTAGGTTTGACAATACCTGGAAGTACTTTGATAAGCATGTTGGAAATGTAGAAAAAATAGCTCTGCAATTTCAGATGACTTCTTGAACATAAATTATGGTAGACTAATGCTTTTAGAGTTTACTGTAGAGTTCAAAGTAATTAACAGATGAAAAGAAATCATGATACTTTTCCATTGTAATAAAAGTATGATAACTTATAGTGCAGTTTGACTTTATATTTGTGGACTAAGTTAACTAGTATAGTTAATTTAAAAAAGGCAAAGTACCAATTGTGTGAATAATAAAGTTGGTCTTGCAATATGTGATTTTAACTGTGTAACACACTGTTCTTACTTTGATGTCCCCAGTTTGAGAAAAAGAATTTGTTGGAAGATCCAGGTGTTGACAAAATTGAAACAATTTTCTTCATGTTCTTGGAGCGTTCCATTGTTATGTGATTACCAGTGAGAGCACTGAAGGCTGCACTAAGACTAAAAAAARCCTCCAACTGGGGTATTTGAAGCCAGTGTTGCTCTTGTATTACTTTGCTATGAACTGACTATACTGCTGTGCAGTATTAGTGTTTCATATATATACTCTTAAAGTATTTTATAAATTGTGGTTTGGTACAGATACAGCTTAGTTTTATTTTAGGGCATGCTTTCCAAGGAAACATTGATTTTACTATTTTATGTATACAGGGAGCTAACTGTTCYAGTTCTGAAAAAGCTGTGAGAAAAAAAAATGGAGAAGTTAGTTTGCTTGTTCCTATTACTCTCAAATAATTCTTTTGTTAATAATTTCCTACATCAGTTCTAGTTTTTGAGGAGGGTTCATTTCTGAAATGTCATTGATCTAAGTAAACTGTACTGTATTTTCAAAGATGTTCTTAGAATTGAGATATTAGTTAAATAAAAAAGCTGCAGCTTTTTATTTTGCCATGAGGATTTGACACTGGTGTAACTATTGCATGTTTATTTGGGACATTTTTCCCYTAAAAAGCATTTTTCATTTTGTATATACGGTAAAACTATTTTTTGTAAGCAGTGGGCAGCCTTATGAGCTGGTCATCAAAATACCAAAATTCCTWTATCTTCTCAGTCCAAAAATACTCTATCTTATCTTCCTATTTATACAGCTCAGTAATTTGAGCAAAATGTTGAGCATTGTCTTTTTGCATTTTTATAATGAAGTGTTATGCTGTTGGTTTCGTGATATGGTGTTACCTATAAAAGCTGCACCTTTACAGATTTCTGCCTGTGTGTGATCAATAAGAAAATCAGAATTTTTTAATGAAGTTGTTATAGATTAAAATGCATGGGKTTTTTATCTCTTTAAGCATCATTGGTAACACATTTTTTTCTTCTGACTTCAAGTTGGCAGTCATGTGGGCTGTGAAAATCCTGTCATTACACATTGGCTCTTTGGTAGTTGTTTGCCCAGGTTTGAAGTTAGATAACATTAACAAGACAAACAAACCAGCAGGGAAAATTTTTGGTGGAAGTACTTAAATTAGCTTTACTTCATTGCCATATCTGCTCCACCGAATTGTGGCAGCCTATTAAGTGCCTCAGGAAAAGTAGGATCTACATAAGGTGTATTTTCCACTTAGGTGCTTTATTGCCATATCCYCACCTCTTTATTCTCACAGAGAGTTGGGAAAATCCATTTTCCAGGCCTCCTTTATGCTTCATAAGGGAGTAGAAGCCTACAATTTGGTTTCTAGTGGCTCTTTTACATCCAGCTTGGTTATATAAGTGTATCTGTTCTRTAAAGTACAGGAGTGATTTATCATGCATAAAAGAGATTAGATGATTTCATAATCTCATCTGTGTGAAATCTGTGGAGGAAAAAAAAGGGCCACAAAATATTTTTTGCCTCCTTTTGCACATAATATTTTAATAGTTAGAGGCTCTTCTAATCTCCTGCAAGATACAAGAGGTGTGGGCATTTCTGTTTTAAATGCTTTCTAGGCCATCATGGATGTCAGAGAATTTCCTGTCTGGTTGAAGAAGAGTAGCAGTAAACACCAGTGTTTGATTCCGTTCCCTTAGATGTGGTCTAAAGCCTTCAGACATGTTTGTAGTATTTTAAGAATCTGTGCCTAAGAGAGTTAGTTTAGATTTACTGAAATTTATCATACATGTGTTCATACCACACTTTCAGTGTTTCCACCTTACAATAAGACACTGCCAGTGTCTGAGCAAGAGAGAGCCGTAGCCTTGTCTACCGAGTTAGTTGGAGCGGTCCTTTCTGCTACATGCACAACGCCGCCTTCCCTTCCTGTGTTGGCAGTAGCACTTCTGCACTTGTAGTTTACTGCTTTTCATAGAGGTGGTCTTAACCTAGTGCAGTAGCAGTATGGCTTGCTATAAGAAGAGGGATGAGACCTGGAAAAGTCAGACTCAGTTTCACGATAGATTCATTTACAGTATTACTGTATAGATCCCCACACCTCGTTTTCCTAGTATTTATCTGTCAAATTTAATTGTGAAATTGCAAACTTCTTGGGCACAGAAAAACCTACACTCCTTTCTCCCATGCCTCTAAGGAAACTAGATGGAGTGTTTTCACACTTTGAGAAGAAATACAAAAATAAGATGACAGTGTGTGATTGTAGGGTTTTTTTAGGCAATGCGACTCATGACCATTTGGTGTGCAACTCTGCTAATATACCATRTGTTTGTAATTTGGAAAATCTTGTTACTCATTCTGCAGAAAGTTCTRTATGCTGAAAGTGTCAACAAATTTCAGGGTTGAAATTGTTAAACTTGTTAACATCAATTCAGCATTGTGTTTGGCGGTGGCTTTAAGCTCAAAAACATGCTACAGTCTTTTAGTGTGTGAGATGATAGTTTTAGAGTATTTTAGTGATGAGAAATATTGGCTATGGAAATGCATTTCACTAGTATTTCTTTTGACTGCCATCTTTTTCTATTTAAAGGATTTTTCTGTAATTATTCTATTTCTCTATTAGAAATAAGTGTTTATGTATTTTTTTCAATAGCTCACAGGAGTCCTAGATGATTGTTTATGTGAYATAGAAAGCATCGATGACTTCAATACTTTCAAGATCTTTCCCAAAATACAGAAGTTGCAAGAACGTGATTACTTCAGATATTACAAGGTACATTTAGAATGGTATTTTCCTGAATGATTTAAATAAAATGCACAAAATATAGGAAGGATTGCATATCAAGTCAACTTGTCAGTGTTAAGCTGTCTGTTAGAAGCCCACAGTTCTTTAATTTGGTTGGAGCAGGTTTTCAGTCCCTGACAGTTATGTTGGTAATAAGTCTTGTTTGCTATGTTAATCCTGGAGTCAGTGACAATAAATCATGACTGCTTTCATTCAATTGGTAAGTGGTAATTTAAAAGATAGTGCCTTTATACTGCTGCATCTAGAAAAAGATCATATATTAGCAATTTTCTGGCAGCATGCAGTGCTTATCTTCTAAGAAATGTGTGTAATTTGAAATTTAAATATTGGAATGATTTACTTTTCTTATAAGTTGCTGTCTTATTTCAGATTTTAATATTTGCTATCTAGAGAACTATTATTCCTTTGAAAAATAGGCAAAACCATTCCTTTTTCAAGTAGTATGTAATATCACTTTTTATTATTTAAAGCATTTTTTTCTCTCTATTACTATCTGATGTGTAAATGAAGATTTGAAGCCTGATACTTCTGTTTTCAGATGCTTAACTTGAAAGTGAAATTGCATTTTGACTGAGCTAGTCAGATGGTCGCCTGCCACTGGAAAACAGAGATTACGCTCCTCTAGGGCAACATCCTGCCCCTTTAGTACCTTTAGCTCTCTATTAGGCCAATGTATCTCTTAGACCTGGTAGATTTTTAGTCTGGGCGTTTCAGTTTGCCCTTTGGTAGGGATTTTTTTTTTTATTTTGTCAGGGTTTTTTCTTCTCAGGATGTAGAATTTATCTAATGCATCTGGAATCAGGCAAATATTAAACTCATACAAGATGGGGTTATGAGTGTGAAGAAGGAGAAAAAGAAAAAGCATTAGACTCTTCCTTTTCTAGCCTGAGCAAGCAGTAATGTGTAACTGCACCCTGTATCTCCTGCTACAYGATACAGTTGTAAAATCGCTTTTCGGGAGAAACAGGATATGTGCAACTTCAGTACTAATACATCACATAGTAGTGGTAATGACATTCTCCAGAGGCAACAGAAAGATACAAAACAAAGTACTTGAAGAAGAGGAGCAGCAGCTCTATGAGGCTTCATACAACACTAATTTCAGCCTGCAAATTTAGAGCAAATGTTGATTTCAACAGCAGTTCTGCAGATCATACTCTAAAGGTATGTTGCAATCCTGCCTCATCTTTTATACTGATCTTCCTAATAGATGGGAGTTCCAAGGGCTGCGTGCAGTGCACCAAGCACCACATTACACTTAGTACTTCCAGTCGTGGCAGGGAAGAATTTGTGTTGAACAAGCAAACTAAGTCCATCAGAATATGCTTTAGCTTTTCCTGTTTGAATAAGCAACAGCTTTTTTTGATACCCTTGTCCAGAATGATGGAAGCGCTTTTAAGCACATAAATGGATGTGGTAATTGAGAAGGTAGGTGTCATGGTTTAGGAATGGTACTCTCCAAATCAGTGCACTCACTGAACCATGCACTACTCACTCTCACTCCCATTTTCCTCTCCCTCTCCATGCTACATCAGGATGGAGATGAAAATTAGAGGCACAAAAGGTGAAGAWCATGGGCTGAGATAAGAACAATTTTCTGGAAACAATGAGATAAGAAAATGAACAGTAACAGCAACAATACTAATGACAGAGGGCATAAGAAAAGAAATTATTCACACAGAGGGGGAAAAAAAGTAATAGACAGTAWCAAACAACTCCTTCTGGTATGTTTTCTCGACTGGAAGGAACCCCTTCTGCCTGGAACAGAGCCCCTTTCCCCTTCCCCTGACAATGATGTGACCTGGTATAGAATAATCTCCAGCTCCTAGCCATGCCCTCTCCTCTTTACTGCAAGTATTAACCCTACCCTTGCCAGAAGCAGGACATTATTCAGTGATCATCCAAGTCAGCTACAGCATAGAGGTCAATATCCTTGTTCTTGGAGTGAACATTCCTACTCCCAAGTAATTGAATTTGTAATAGGAACTTGGATTGTGAACTTTTSTAACTTCTATCACAGTATTCCTGTTGTGTTACTAGTTCAACAGCCATAAAAGAACTCAAACCTTGATGTATATAACTGAATGTATGAGGTAGTTTTTATTCAAAGGCCAGAGAAAGCTTCATAAAGTCTTGCAGAAATTATGCTAGGTGGTTTCTAGACAGTAGAACATTTCTCAATGGAAGAGTTAAAAATTTTTGWCTCTTTAGTTTTATACACCAAAACACACAAATTGTGAAAAACTCATTATGAAGAATCTGTCTTTTAATTTGTGAAAGAGACAAATAACACTCCTAAGTGACAATAGTGAAATGCAATACCTCGTACCCTGAAGAAGATAGGATGTTCTGTGTAGACAGTGCATGATTGGTGTTGATTAAAGTGCAAGTGCTCTACAACATCAGTTTGTGTGTGCTGGTTTTGGTSCTCTTCAGTCATTCTGGGACTAGTATATCTTGATTTGCATGTGTTCTTTCTGAATTAATCTGCAGTTGAGGCAGCMGTATTATTTTATTTACAGCATTCCTCTGTGTAAAAGCAGTGGCTGCTGTTACTTATATCTTCCTCAGTGTGTAAGCATTTTTTATTGTGAGAGTTTACTTTAAAGAAGGCTGTAATTTAGCTGTGTTAGCTGGTTGTCTTTTTTTTGGTAGAAATTGGTGGGAGGTGAAAATTTTATATAATAGGACTTATTGTGAAGGTGATGTGGAATGTAAAACTATTTTGTAGTTTATTTTCAAAAAGATGAGTGAACAAGTACAAAAAATAATTTTACTTTTATTTTCCTAGGAATAGTGTTTGCGCATTGAATAGAGGAAATGGGGGGGAAGCAACCTAAAAATTTCTGCTCTATTGTGTCTGTGCTAGTAAGGTCTGAGCTGTAACGAGAAGATATTTGTCATCACTTCTAAGAAGCTGTACCATCTGCTAAATGTCTTGTCAGGTTTTTTTTGGCTGAGGAATCTCTTTAACACTTTAAAATAATAATCTGGTTTTGGTCTAATTTTGAAATCAAATATCATCCAAGTATTTATTTGAATTAGTTAATTTTAGTAGTGAGAGATTTAATTTTTGCTTTGATATACTGTRTGTTTGTGTTCATTCACTGGAGGCCATTATCATTAACTGTTTCACTGCACAAAACTCTAGCTTMTGTAGTTAGAGTAATTAAAAGAAACTGACAGACCAAACCCCCTAAACTTAAAGTATTTTATATTACACTTTTTCCTTCTGTCCTCTCCTTTAATTTAAAGGATTTCCTGATACTGTGAGCTTTCTTCTACAGTTGCTGTATATAAGTGCTGATTGTAAACTTTTGGTTTTTTATGTTTAGGTCAACCTGAAGAGACCGTGCCCTTTTTGGGCTGACGATGGCCATTGTTCTATCAAAGATTGTCATGTAGAGCCTTGTCCCGAGGTATGGATCAAATACAAAATTGAAAAAGTTTTTTTGGCTAAAAATTTGCTAATTTGCAGTGGCTAGTACAATAATAACAATACTTATTGAGAATTTAAGTTTAAATAAAAGTGACAAAATCTTTTCCATTCTGACAGTAGAAATACAACCAAATATTTTAAGGTCTTGGATATTTTATGAACAAAGCAGATAGCTTCAAGAATAAATCTCTTCTAAGCTCTARCACTGTTTTGGATGTATCATGTTGAGGTAGTAAGGTGAAGGAGCWAGGTAATTTTTCAGTAAACGAGTTTCTTTTGACCTCTATAGGAGTGATTCCTAATTTGTAACTTTTAATCAAGCATAAACATTTCTATAAACAGTGTAAAAGCTGTGATTTATTTTTTGGTTTTAGAGCAAAATACCTGTTGGAATAAAGGCTGGGAGCTCTAATAAAGTAAGTATTCCTTTATTTTCCAGGTTCTTTCTGATTTTTTTTTAATCTTAACTTTATAACAGCTGTGTGGCTTTTTAGTACAAACCTTCAGTGTTGGCATACTGATGAAATAACTGATTGATTCCTGTATGGGGCTTTATCTTTTTACCTTTATTTATTCTAGTGTTTCTGACATASCTGGTACTGTCTTGTCGTTTTAAGTCTGTCACTGCTTCAGAGCTGGTGCAGACTGAATCAGTGAATGACAAGGGACAGCAGTGCATAGCCACAAAATGTCTGATGCAAAATTGTTGCTTCATTTCTGAGTACAGGCCATCTTCTACAAAGCTATAGGCTAAAATGCACAGAGGCAGTAGCAGTGTACTAGTCTGTTTTAAGAATCATAATCGCAACATCTAATATTAAAAAAACCCAAATGATTGCATGTTTTGCTATGTCTAATTTTCAGGAGATCGTTAGTCCTAAGGTTATTTGGTCAATAGTTTAAAGACAGTTTTGGTTAAAGTGAGACCAGTGCAAATTGAAGTAGTCAGTCTGTGCTACTGGCTTTTGCTTGCTTCTCTCCAAGCCATCCTTCCTAGGTCACCAAGTGGTCTTAGCAAAACCAAAAAAGTCAAGAGGAAAAGAGGTAAAAATATGCCTAGGAAAAGAGGTCAGAGCAGAAAGGCAAATAACCACACACCCCCACATCCCAAACACAGTTCCCCAAGAATGAGGATTTTAGCAGTTGATGGAAAAATGGTGCCCAAATGAGTGCCTTGACTGTTGTAGACACTTATGTCKTGATTAACTATTACATCTCCACCCTCCCCAGTGCTTTCTACCACACTGAGCAGCCTGACTGTAGTTCACCATATCATAAAGGATTGTTGGCATTAGGTTTAGACCTCATGCCAAGAAACGTTAACAGAGATAGCTGAGGTGACTACTTCATTGTGAATTGATGACTTRTGTCCTGTTGTCTGGAACAGTGCAGGCAAGTCTGTCCAATCTTTAGCTCAAGTCTTGTTGCCTTTATACCTATATTGTTAACTCACTCTGAAATAGAGACTGCATCTTCATTTAAGGATTCCTGGTAATCAGAGAGGAAACATCTTTCTCACTGACATCATTTAAATGTCAGTCATTTGCCATTTCAGCACCAGCAGCAGTAGTTGTTCTGAAAAACTGATGCTATCTCTGGGCAGAATATCTTGTGTTTTAACTGAATAATCTGTTACTAATTCTCTTTTTCATTGACTCTTTTATCTTCCAAGTTTGATTATAGAGAAAATAACTCCTGAAATACCGTAATGCCTCCTAGAGAGGGGGACTGTAAGACTTTAAAAACTGTTTTAGCAAGGATTCCTGTAGTCGGCATTTGAACTTCCTGATTGATTACTCTTGAGAGCCATAAATAAGTAGTTAAACAGTAGCTAAAGAGTATGCTGTTCTTCAGATACTTCATGTGACCATATCGAATTGGACTTAGGAAGTGAAAAAACAGATGCCTTTTGCTTTCACCACAATAAAGGAAGTGGGATAGCTTCTTTGGGAAGCTGTCACTTGCTGTAATTTTGCTACAGTGGTTTCCTTTGAGTTGTCTTGMAGCTATGTACTGAAATTTTGGCAATTCTGTACCTTTAATCTGCAGAAGACTCTGATATATGCTGCTTTGCTGTTAGAGAAGCAAATATTTCTGTGGGAAAATTGTTGCCAGAGCAGGGATAAATCTTACCTAYACCATGTATGCCCAGCTTCTGTCTAATCCTGATCATGTCTTTCTTGGAAAAGTGAAAACAATCAAAGGCATCTTTTTAATAGTGAGAGTTATAATCTCTTACTCATGGGAGAGTTTTTCTGTGGTTTCTGTCCAGTTTCCCATTGCCTTTCTCTCCTGATGTAGAGACGCTTATAAACTTCTAGCTTTATTTAGGCTTGGGSGGGRGGATTTTTTTTTTGTTTAATTGTTTGTTTGTTGAGCAATGAAGAGAGCAGTTCTTTTGAAAGCTCAGCTACCTGCTAAGACCAAGGTTACACTTGTACAGCTTCTCCATAGGAGTGCAGTTAGCAACAGAGGATGTCTTTTTAATTCTTGACACCGTCATAAGCCTTTTGAAATAGTGCTGCAGAGGARCACAGTAATTTCCCTTTCTGTAGTTCCGTTTCATTTGAGTGGTGAATGCATATTTTGGGGCTAGACAGTGAAGGACTGTCATGACTATTGCATTAACCTTTGAAGCAAARGGCAGGATGCAATAACTCCAGGTTACAACATTTAACTTTGTGATTTACTTCCTGTCCTTTTTTTCTGGGGTTTCTTTTTTTTCTTTTTTTTTTTTGGGGGGGGGGGGGGTTACCCCGGTAACAGGTCTTAGGAGATCCTGGTTGGCAAGAACAATTTTGTCTTGATCTTGTCAGGGGTCACAGAGCACTGAACTGATAACTGTTCTTTTTAAACACTGGAGAATAGGGAAGGCTGGAAATAGATTTTGAGACTTGAATGTTCATTGTGTTTGAAACATTAAATCTAGGATTATAATCTTGGGAGTAACCTTTTTTTTCACTTCAGGGTAGGCATTGGTTTGCAACTCTAGACATGCAGAATGTTTACTTCAGCATCTCAGTATGTTATTTCATCAGCAGTATTTGTTTCAGTCTAGGTTAGATCCATTCCTTGTTCCCATTTAACATCCATATGATGCTAAAGAATGTGGTCCCATGCCTTTCAAATCGAAGAAAAWTGAGTAAGATGTTCTTTCTAGGGTAAATACTTATGGGCAAGGCCCCTAAGAAGATTTAAATTATTAGGTTTTTTAAAATCTCCTTCACTTCTKTGGTCTTCAGTAGCTTCTGCTGTTTTCCCTTGTGTTGGTTCAGGCAAATGCAGTTTTAAAGCAATTCATCTTGCTTACTCATCTGAACAGTTTCAATTAAATAATTCCTTTTTTTGAGAAGTRTTGTGATGCATATTGTGGTGATACTTTGCCTCTGCCATCTTGACCACAAGTCTGTCCTSAGAAATGAACTATTCTTTCTTTTAAAATTTATCATTTATTTATTTTACTAATTGCCCTAAGGCTTAGTCTGGAAAAAAAAAAAAAAAACCATACATGTACAAAACAATCCAAAAACCCACAAAAGGTGGAAATTTGGTTTATATTTTAAGAGAGCACTGTTACTACCTTTTATGTKCCAAAACTTAGAGGGACTTTTTGAGCTTTAAGTTGACAGACTTAAATTCCCTGCTGACATAACCGTATTATTATAGAATAGTGAMATTTTGTCTTTTATTCTTAAAAGGTTTTCCATAGAATTGTTCCAGAATATGCCTATGTTAGTGGATTACTTTTTAAAAATATACTTTAGAACCAAGGTTCAGCCAAAATTCTTCAATTCTGTCTTTGAAATAAACAAAACTTTAGTTCAGCTGGAAAAGCCTGTGTTCCAGACCTGTGCACATCTGAAGTGAGCCATTTAATTGGATTAAATGAAACATGGGGGGGGAAGTGTCCAAAACTAATAAATATACCTATTGAAATAACCAATGAAACTTGGGATATATTATACTTACAAAAACAAGGTGTGTTTATAGGTATGACACTGCTTATCTTTCAAGGTCCTTTTAGGAGAGTGTCAATATGTATGTGAAACACTCCACTTAGGGTGTTTCATAACAGAAGGGCTCCATTTAATTAAAAAAAAAGACAAAGCAAAATTTTGACATCTTTAGCTGAATTCTCTGTAGTAGTTAAATTCACAAAGTGCAATCAGCCTGATGAACTTAAGTGATGGGAAGATCAAAGTAAGAAATATTCCAGAATCATATGCTGCTTCTAGAAYAAGGTGATTTTCCCTAATACTAAAGAATTCACTGCTGAACTTAGAAATRCCTTTCACAACACCTGTTCTTAGAGGATTTAAGTAATTCATTTGCATATTAAATATGACTTTTCTTACAGTATTCAAAAGCAGCAAATAATTCCAAAGAATTGGAAGACTGTGAGCAAGCTAACAAGCTGGGAGCAGTTAATAGTACCTTAAGGTATGTTGTGATTTACATCAACAGTATGAAAATAGTAAGAAAAGAACATTTTGTTTTGTCTGTCTGGTTTTGACAATGTGCTGGTTTTTCRTTTTCATTCTTTCCATAACCTATTAGAAAGTAAATGTGAAATGATGCAAGAACATCTGAAGGCGAAGGTGTTGAATAAGTAGACTTTCCTTTTGTTTAAAGTACACTTTTATATTATTTAAAGGGGATATCTTACAGCATCCAAGAGTCAGAGGAAACTTGCAAATAAACCCACCGTTTTTCTACTCTTTGTTCTTGACAACTGTGCTGGATTTAGAGGTTTTGTCCTGCTCTGTCCCACTGTTGCATTGATGTACGAGTTTGTGCTCTTTCAATGAACTAGATCAGGGAGTTGTGAGTTACTTTTGTTGTTGGTGAAGTTATTTTTAGCTTGGATCAATTCCCTGATCTTGCTTATTGCATGGCACTGTCAGGTTGGGTGGGAGGAATTCTGCAGGATGGTGTTGCCCCTGGGTACAAAAGTGTGTGGAACCCCATTTAGAAAACCTAGCACTTTACTGGTTTCCCCACCTTTGAAAAATAGAAACAGAAAAATCAGTTCTTCACTGTTTATGGAAGGATGTGGTGTCTTTGCCCACAAATTTCAACAGTTCTTCCTGGTAAAGATGTTGAAACGCTTTCATGTGCCATGAAAAAGCGACTSTTTCTTCCTGGTGTGTGGTGTTTTAGGGAAATAAGAAACTATTAATTCTGTTTGGTTTCTGTAAGGCAAAGAATGTGAGATTGTGTTTGTAAATGGACACCTACAGAACATGCCTTTATGGGAATAGAATAGATGACCAAATTTGGGAGAGGGCAGGTAATGGATCCTGCAAGTGGAGGAAGAGTTTGTGCTTTGCAGTAAAACCTCCACATTCTCTACCCAGCAGTGCACAATCCTCTTGGGTTTGAGTTATTTTCCTTTATAAGTTATATTTCTTGTGGTTATCTAATCTTGCCTGTTTGTAATTACCAGAGAATTTCCTCACCTAATGCCATGTRTAAAGTCTCCTACTGTGTTTTGGCAGAAGGGTAGGAATGTATCATGTTGTAGAATTGCCTCTGTTTGTAGAATTGAGCTGGTACTAATTTGATCAAACGGAATAGGTTGTTTTTGTTATTTCGAGGCACTACACTGCATCCTGGAGCCGTGTTCCTAATCTTAACTTTGCTTACATTTTGCTGTCAGTAGTGTGGCATTAGTAGCTCTGTGCTGCACACAGTCATAGAAGAAAGGCTTTGTCACTGTGTTTCATAGTGCAGGAACTTCAAAGTACTTGTCTCTCTAGTACCATGCACCTTTGAAAATGCTAGAGTGGAATAACATTATTATTTAAATGGCTTAGGACAAATCATATTCATAGAGTACTTTGGTTTAGAAGAGGGATTTAAACATCTAGTCTCCCAATAAAAAGACACGCACTAACTATTGTAGGTTTCATTGAAAGTGAGGGTTATGAAAATAGGGTGATTCCTCCCTCCTCCACCCTCCAAGTGACAGCTGCTAATGTGTTAAAAATGTGTTCTATGAACATATTTCACCAAGCTCTTACTGAAGGAAGACAAGTCACTGCACATTGTTCAAATAATGGTGTAATCTTTGTCTCAACATGAAGTTGACTTTTGAAAGTATTGCAGTTGRTGCCTGCTTGAATCTCTGTGCAGTTAACAAAGGGTAACTCCATATATGCTCAAGTTTCAGATATACTATCTTAGAATCCACTCCCAAGCTATATGTGGGTTGTATTTCTTTCAGAAGCTCTTACTGACATTGGTTATTTAAAAGTTTAAATTAAAATGTTTTTTTTTTCCCTCAGTAACCAAAGTAAGGAGGCTTTCATTGACTGGGCAAGATACGATGATTCTCAGGATCATTTTTGTGAACTTGACGGTAAAATCTTTAAGCTTTTTCAGAGTGTTTGTTTTATTTGCTGTCTCATAAAACTGCAAAAGATCATGCTTTGTCTATAAATAACCATTTTAAAGAAGTTTAAATTTTGTCCCACATGGAAATGTGACAGTTCATATCATACACACAAAGTGCAAATTTTTGCAATTTTACAAGGAGTGTTTGGTAACCTACACAGTGTGCATTCACTGTTACATCCTTTTAGTATATTGAAGAGGAGATATTTAYGCAAATAAAGAAGATGGTAAATGGGATGGGGCTAACATATTTTTAAAAAGCTTCTTACAAAAAATTTCATCTAGCACAAAGATAAGATAAATGGCTTGCAGCTGATTATTTCTTACTACTGTATTGTTTTGTTGCTTTTCTACTGTGCTYGAAATGAGTTTGTTCCTCTTCCACATTTGCAATTTCTAAATGATCCCTGCACCCTTATTTGTAAGGACTTTCTTAATGTTAAAACATTAGGATACTAGATTGTGTCTTTCCTCTACTCCACATATGTGAGTCTTTTAATTTGCTTGTAATGTTCAAAGCTCAAAAGAGTGTTTTTCAGATAAGTGTGAGAATTGACAACTTTAGGATTGACTACTAGAGTAGTTTTTAATAAATTATCATTACCTTAGAAATAGGTAATTTGAAACAATTTGAAATGACAAAAATTTGAACAATAGGCACCTTAGAAAGCTTTCTATGACAGGAATATTTAGGGCATAATGCTAGATATTTTCATCTACCTTTAGGCCTATATCTGGTGTCACCTGAGAAAGTAGCAGCTGCAGTGGACTTACCACCTGCAGTTCTCTTTCAGCACTTCTGCTCTATCTTATCTCAATACTTTCTATATGAGCTGTTTATGTAATAGCTGATGAGCGTTACTGTAGGTCTGTTRTATGCAATTATCTACTGTTGTCTCTATTGCCTTCAAGTTGTCTACATTTTTTAATAGTACTGAGCTGTGAAAGGTGTAGTTGAGGATTTCTTTTAGAAGCAATACTAACTTAAATAGTTCCTAGTTCTAACTCCATCTCTCCTTATATCATGCCTTGCTGAAGGAGGATGTCCCCAGCTGTGTTCTTCCAATGTG